CCTCCCAGATGACCGAGCTTCTCACCCTATCTCTAATGGTGAGCCCAGACACCCTGCGGAGGAAACTCATTTCAGCCATTTGTATCCGCGATCTCATTCTTTCGGTCAGTACCCAAAACTTGTGACCATAGATGACGGTAAGAACATAGACCGACTGGTAAACTTCTGGCTCAGCTCCCGCTTCACCACGACAGACTGGTACAGCGCTCGCATCACTGCAGATTCAGCACCAATCCACCTGTCGATATCTCGCTCCATTCTTCCCTCATTCGTGAACAAGACCCCGAGATACTTAAACTCCTTTGGGCAGGACCTCCTCCTCAACCCGGATAAGGCACCCTACCATTTTCCAGCTCAAKATTATGGTCTCAGATTTGGAGRCACTAAAWAAAATGTGTGATCCCCCTATAGTTGGAACACACTCYGCAGTCCACCACCCTGGTCTGCCAATCCAGGGGAACTGCCCCCGATGTCCACACRATATTGTAGAGTTGCATCAAATAATGCATTGAGTGGAGAAACCAGAGAACCTGGTGAAACCCCAAATGCTCAGAGTTGAGTAGTCGATACAGTGTATTTATTTATCGAGTCTATTGTCTAATAAATTCTGTCCAGTCCGTTTATTCCAGTACAGTCTGAGTTATTCTAATTAGGATTGCCATGGCAACATGGCAACCTATTACTATCCACTCCAAACCGCTGTCCATCCGTGCCTTCGTGCCCGGACAGCGGTTTGCTCCAGGAAGATGTCAGCTCCGACACAAAATCCGGAAACATAGGCAGACGGTGCTTCACATCAGCCGGTTCAGACGGGAGATAAAACCCTGCGAACCTCGACGACATTTGAGCAGGTGGTGGTGGGGGGGGGGTCAGGCCACTGTACCTCCAGTTTAGCAGCAGCTCGGCGGCACAGGGACAAGAAGGACGAATCCTGGTCCACCCTCGCAGCAGCGGGGGTGGAGTGAGCTGGGCACAGCTCCTCGTCGTCTTTGGACAGACAGAGAACCTCCTGCTCCATCTGCAGAATATCGTCCTCCTCTTGGTTTAGGTCCAGTAGAAACTGGGTCTCGCCCCCCTCGATGTCGGTTGAGGCCGCTTCGTGCTCCATCTGGTCCGCCCAGCTAGCGGCAGGGGCTTCAACCACCGAATCCTCATCTTCGTCGGACTGAGCCGTCTGGCTGGATTCGGAGAGCAGCGGCTTTTATCGGAAAACAGCAGTTTCCCCCAGCATTTTCTCCAGGAATTTCACTCTCCTCTCCAGTGTCGGACGCGAAAGTCCGGCAAAGGCCCGGCAGGACTTGGGCTCCACAAGTGCCCATCGAGCGTGAATGATTCCTAGGCAGGCCGGGCAGGCCTCATGCTGGTCCTTCTCATGAAGCTTAAAGCCCCACCCCTGAGGACGGGCGAACAGAAGACTTCGGCTTCTTCGAAGGTGGTTTTTTGCTCACCGTGAACCACAAAACAGATTTTCAGCAGAAAATAAAGGTCACTTAAGTAGCGTCGAGTGACAGACACACGAACCAGCAGGTAACGCCGTTAGCACCAGTAAAGCTATCCTAAGAACCTTCTAGAAGCTGAGCTAACTAGCAGCAGCTATGTGAGCTCAGGTTTAGTGGTGACGTTCGCGAGGTGAAGGGCGATAGAACTGAGTAATGATGCTGGTGCCTCCAAACTTATAGGGTGAAGGCGGAGCCTGTCACCCGACGTTCAACGTCACCACGTCACCGGTCTAAAGACGTGATTAGAGGAGGGCCCCTGTCCCATATACAACTGTGTGTTGTACTGAGTGAAATGACTGAAAAGGAACTCCATTGGATTACATGGGAAGCTGCTTCTAACTGGTTTGAACAGCTCAACCTCTAGGTCACATGACCTAGAGGGTGAGCTGTGAAACTTCAAAAAAAAAATTTGCAAACAAATTCCTACTATAGCCACAATTTTCATGTTACAAAGACAAATTATACATCAAAACATAGGAATTTTTGTCTTCTTTCAGAAAATGTTCTTGGTTTAGCTATAAGACAAAAGTTTTTCTCTCTACGTGCTTCAGAAGCCAGCAAAACCAATTTCCTTCCCCTATCTCTGCCATGTAAAAAAATGGTTAAAATGTTATATAGTACTGTTTCTGTGCTAATTTTGAATGTTTTTGTGCGTATTTGTTCAAATCTGTAATATTTGGTCTAAAAACGTCTTTTGCTGCTCATATGAGTAGAGCAGTGGTACTGCAGGCTAACTTGCATCTCTCTCTCTCTCTCTCTCTCTCTCTCTCTCTCTCTC